GATGTCGAAAGCCTGGTTCAAAGGGAACCGCTGAGGCCTGGGGGGGTTCAGGGAGCTTGGGTGGGAGCAGAGCCAGCTGTGCCATCGCCCCAGCCCCAGGCAGGCTCTGCTCGGGGGTACAGGCCCTTCATGAAAGAGGTGTGGACCTGTGCGGATGAATCCACTCTCCTCCAGCCTTGGGAGAAAGAGGGAGTGCTGAGCACACCTACAGCCAGGCAGCCGTGAGATGGGCAGCAGGTTGTTCCCAGGGCCTTTGCTACGTGATTGCTTTTGCTCTCCGGCAAGCTCACACACGCTTTGCAAGGCTCTAAATACTTCAGAGCCAGACTGCTTGGCAAAGCTGTTGCTCACCTCTGCAGGTGTGGGCAATTCTGCAAGAGACTCTCTCACCTCCAGGGTAGAAGGAGCAGCATATGCTGCAAAGCATGTTGGAGACATCTCCCCACCCCCGCCATCCACCCAGTCTTCCCTCAAATCCCAGCATAGCGTTATCTAAAACCAGCCCTGCTCTGCACCCAGTGCCCTTATTTCATCAGCAAAGCTGTTGTGGGCCACGGGTCCCACAGGGCACAGGCTACACTGGTGTCAGAGAAGTCTTTCACTGTGTCTTCCTGCCTGGACATCCTTCTCCAGTAGGCCTGTGCCTCCAGTTGACGTGTAGAAACGTGGTCCGGCTGTGACTTTATCAGAGCAGGAGCATCCCTTCCCTCTGGTTGCTGGAGGGACATGCGTGGCAAAAATGGCCCTGGCTACACTGTGAGGGGGAAGATGCAGTCCTGCCAGCTCAGCTGACAGCCTCTCAGGACTCGATGGCTTCATGCATGCAGGCACATGAGGGCACCAGTACTTTGCTGTGGTTATAAGCAGCGCTGAAAAACGTTCCTCAGCACCCAGCCGCAATGATAGGGTGTGGGGCAAACCAGTGCTTGACTCGGGGAAGGGGGCAAGTTCACACAAAGCTCTAGAGACTGAGTTTCGGTCTTAACTGCTGATGACTGTGGTCAGCTGATGGCGTCTCATGGCGGGGCTGGATTGTTGAGGCTTGTCCTCAGAATCACAGGCTTGGCATGGCAGGAAGGAGAAGGGGAGAAAGAAGAGGCTTAGCTGAGATGTGGGGACTGAGATCAGGCTGAGTACAGCAGGCATGGAGTGAGGGGCAACATGGAAGCATGCCGAGAGAGCGGTAAAGGTGGTGTCTGTGGGTGAGAAGACTTTAGTATGCCTGTACCTGTGTGTGCGTGAAACTGCAGGAAGGAGTTTCTTGCTCAGGTTCACGTGTAGAAGTCACAGGGTACATCTGCCAGGCAGTGGTCTGTGGGCGCTGAGACTGAGGAGTTCGTTTTGGCCTTGAATGGTAAGCCTGTTCATCCCCTGGAAGAACAGGGTAGGGGTGACATTTCAGAAATGCTCTGTTCCCAGTTAGAAGATGCAGTCCTGTTTCTCTTGCCATGCATGTTTTTCTTTCCGCAGCCTCTTTCTCTTTCATTATCCTTCATGTTCCTCACTTTTTGTACTTTTTTCTTTTTTTTTATTACCCCTTTCTTTCCTTTACTCTCCATCTCCCACAATACATCCAATTTCAGATTCTGCCAGAAAGCAGTGAGCAGAACCTGCTTTTCTTGTTCTTACCACCTTGCTTCTGTATTGTATTTATTATATAAATACTGACTGTATAATTGCCAGAGCATTATCTCTAAATGTACAGATGAGGGAAAGATGCAATGGCAGCCAAAGATTAATTTCAGGGTCAGCCTGGTGGGAGACATTTTTCTCCAGCTGTCAGGGGAGGAATCATCTGAGACAGAATAGCAGTCAAGAACACCAGCCACTGCTTTTCCCGAGCACCTTTCATCTTTACGCCACAGAATAAAGATGGAAGGTTCCTAAATTCAGCCACTTCTGGGGTTAAAAAAAGGCCACAGAAACAATCTAGATCAAGCAGGTAGATTGTACACAGTATATAGGCCCTGCTGTAAATCTATTCTTATACGGGAACTATTGCTACTCTGAAATCAGGGCTGAGTCTTTGCAGCTCATTTAATTACTGAAGCATCTCCAATAGGATTAAATGGATGTCTGAGTGTGTGTTAGCTTATGTTAGGATATGCTATGCTGATGAATATCAGTGCTTTCATATGCCTCCAGCTACGCATGCTCTGTATATTTACAATAACTGGTTTACTGTCATCCAAAGTTGGAGACAAAAGGAAGGAAAGTATTATTGATCCAACCTTGTGCCTTTGGGTGATCATGAGCCCTAGGTTGGCTGCAGAGCATTAGAGCTGGTTGTAGTGAAGTGTGAACACCAGGTGTGGGAAGAAAGGGATTTATGAACAGGAATGAAGCTGCAGGAGCTGCACGTGGATGCAGGTAGTTGCACATGGTACTGAGTGCCTTTAGCCGTAGACTGTTCTTGCATCAGCCATGCCAAGAAGAAGCAAATGGAATAAATAAAGGAGTTCATGGGCCTGATGTCCAAGAACCGTTCTTTTTCTCTCTGTCTGTCTGAGAAATACATGCATATTCATGTCTTTCCATCTTATTGCAGGGCTGCAAGCTCAGACTGTCTTAGTCAATGACACAGTCTCGGGGTTTATCGGGACAGACGTGGTCCTGCACTGCAGCTTCACCAATCCGCTCCCCAATGTGAAGATCACGCAGGTCACGTGGCAGAAAGCCACCAACGGCTCCAAGCAGAATGTGGCCATCTACAACCCTGCCATGGGGGTCTCCATCCTCTCTCCGTACAAAGATCGTGTGACTTTCCGGAATCCTTCCTTCAAAGATGGCACCATTCAGCTCTCTCGGCTAGAGCTGGAGGATGAGGGAGTTTACATCTGTGAGTTTGCCACCTTCCCAACTGGCAACCGGGAAAGTCAACTGAACCTCACTGTGCTGGGTAAGATACTGGACAGGCTTTGTCGTGAGAACCATTGCCTCCAGTTGCACAGATCTGGAGGAACCTGAGACTCATGTCCTGGGATCTCAGGGCAAAGGTGAATCTTGGGTTTAAATTTTACCTATGATGATCTTTCAAGTTGACTGTAAAGAGGTGAAGAGCGTGGAACCCAGGGTAGGTAGTTCACTGAGCTATTACAGGAACGCCTCTTCCTCTTGCTAGGCCTCAGTTCCCCTATCTCTTAATGCAGGTGCAATGACAGTGACCTGTTCCATAAAGGCCTGGTGAGATTTAGTGACCTGGTGGCTGTCAACTAAACAGAGAGAAAAGACAACAGAAAGATCCTAAGCACAAGTGGAGCTTGTCCATGAGCTTATAGTTGTGAGTGAATAGACCTCGCCCAAAGTCTGCATGATTCATTTGCTCTCCAATTTCCGTTTCTCATTCTAACATAGGGCTGAAAACCTATGGCAGGAAAGGAATGACTTTCCATCGTGTATCTGTGCATCTAGGGCTCGTCCCCCATTCTATCCCCAGAGTAAGTTGCTGGCAATTTGCAGCAGCTCAGGATTCACCACAAAGTCTGTCACAGGCTCAGTGGTGCTAGATGTCTCTTGAGTTGTAGTAGAGAGGGTAGCATTGCTTTCCTAACCATCTCTTTGTACTCTTTTCTTCTCCTCCTCCTCCTTTTTGCAATTCCTTGCAGCCAAGCCCACAAATCGGATGGAGGGCACAAAGCGGCCGCTTATTGCAAAGTCTGGCAGGACAGAAAAGATCTTAGTAGCCACCTGCACCTCCTCTAATGGGAAGCCCCCCAGCACTGTCACCTGGGACACAAAGCTCAAAGGGGAAGCAGAGTTTCAGGAGATCCGGAATAGCAATGGCACCATCACAATTACCAGCTGGACCGCTTCACCGACAGCATGACTCTCAACGTGCAGTGTAAGTGAGCATGGGCAGAGCTGGAGAACAATGCTCCGTGGTCAGTCCCTGGGGTGGGTGATAAAGTCTGGCAAAAGAGGATTTTTCTGAAGGGAAGGTGTGGGTCTGGTGGAAGGGCTGAAGAAGGGGCTGTTCTGTTTTTCTGGAGAGTGAATGCTGAAGTGATCCCTTGGAATAATCATATGCTTTCTCTTTTCCACACCTGCTTTCTCCCTCTGCCGCCGCCATGCCTCTTTGTTCCTTCCCTTCACTATCTCCTTCATTCACCCTCTCCCATATTCCTTGTCCTATCATCTTTCCCACCTTGCAATCTCTTCTTCTCCCACCCCTGCCCACTCATCTCTTCCTATTTAATTTTCTCCACCTTCCTTCTCCATAACTCTTCCCTCTCCTTTTCCATCCTGCTTTTCTATCTTTTTTGTCCCTCTGCAGATGAGCCGGAAGTCACAATTGAGGGCTTTGATGGCAACTGGTTTCTCAACCGGAAGGATGTGAAGCTGATATGCAAATCTGATGCCAACCCCCCAGCCCACACCTATGAATGGAAGCTGTAAGTGCCTACAGTGTTTCTGCTCTCAGCAGCACATACGATCTTTGAGCAGGGCCAAGGAGTCTCTGTAGAAACCTCAGTCACCTGCTAGTCAATTAGGGCCCAGTCCCATTACTGTCAGTGGTGTCCCTCCAAGGTAAAACCTGTGCATGTGAGGGGAGAGTTGGACACCTGTAGTTGCTGGAGCTGTGCTCCTGCAGAATGTTCAGAACTGATTCTGGTTCCCTGGCACAGCTCTGCCAGGAGGCCTTCATTGCACAGGGACTGGAACTAACTTCTTGATTTGCAAACCAGAGAAGCTCCCTCTGAAGCTGAGCTTGTCAGATCTGAAACAAGGCTTGTTGCACTGCCAGCCCTGTCTGGAGGGCAGCCTGTGCTTTTGGGGCACGCAGTGCAGTGTTTGAAGCCGCTAGGGCAAGGGACTTATTTTGAGTGAATGGGCTTTATCAGAAGTTTCACGTGGCCTATGGCTCCAGCTGACAGAGCTGGGACTAGTATTTCAGTTGAGCCACACACAGCCGCCTCACCTTGCCGTGGACAGAGGTTGTCCCCTGTCTTTCAGCTAGGTCTTCCCCCAGCATCTTCCAGCTCAGACTCGGGAGGGAAGGGCGGTGGGTAAGGATCGTACACAACCCCTCTCCACTGGGCTGTGATGGAGCTTGCTACCAGCGCAGTGCAGCCTCAATACCCAGGATAACTTCCTATTCCCACTTCTCTGGAATAGTATTCTGTCCTGGGGACATGAAACAGCTGAGATATGACAAGGTGAATAATTTGCTCGGCACCACTAAAGGCTTCAGAAGCAGAGCTGGAAAAGAACCCAGGATTTCCCTTCCGTAAAGGGGCACAAATACACAAAATTCATCTGCATATGGAAAAATCTTTCCCTGGAATTAGCCCCAGCTGTATGCAGGATCTCCCCTTCAGAGTACTCATCCCCATGCGACTGACATCAAACAGAAGCAATTCCTTGTCCTCCAGGGTTTCAGCTTTTGGCTGAACACACTAAAAGGACTGAAAAGCGAGTGAGGGGTGTCTGGGGAGTCGGATG